CTTCGTCTGAAACCAGCGGCATCTTTGGGGGACATCTCTGGGGGACAGTGGGCAGATGAGCAACTGGCTCCTGAAACCACCGGGGGGAGGGGGTCAGCGCGGGAGAGATTTCTTGGGACACCTGTCTGTCTTTTCTCACTCTGCGCAGGCGGATCGCGGCCACGTAGGTGGTCACGATCGCTGGTGGAGAGTAAGTCTCACAGTGCAACTCACGTCTATAGCTTCAAGTTGGAGGCACGTGCTAGACCCGTGTTGCCGGGCTCGCCCACCAGTTGGGCCAATGGCGCCTACCCTTGGGCTGGATTGGGCTAAGGACGTTCGTATGAACGCTCCCGATCCCACGCATAGAATTCCACGCGGGGACACGAACCTTTCCGTCGGGTATCCTAGGCCTGGGGCGATACTCGCGTCGTTAGCCTGAAGGTGGAGACAGTGAGGAGACGGGAAGGGGGCCCCAAGCCGCCCGGACCTTAGTTCGGGTGACCCCAGTTGGGCTCTCGGCTCCGTCTCTCTGGCAGTGGCCCGACACTCTGGGCAAAGAGGGGGGACTTGTTCCCGGTGCAAATGAGTAGCGCATTGTTTGCACTCCGGTACTAGGCTGGAAAGCTAGGAGATGTGGGCTGGGAGGGCGGTCCCGCGCAGGCACCGAATGGGGAGGTCGCCGAGAGGGCCGACTGCGTGCCAGCGGGACCCGCATGCCGGACCGTCGTCGCACTTGTGCGCCGCGGGGGTTGCGGATAAAGGCGCCCCCTCCCTAGATGATTGTATGGAGTGGCAGCTCACGCACCGAGAACGTCCTGGCTCCTTTGCCGGAAGCTCTCACGGTTTCGAGAGGGAACAGTGAACAGGAGACGCCGAGGGCAGTCAATTGTCGTCGTAGAGAAGCGCAGAGCCTATGTGTCGTGTTTGTAAAAAGTGGTACTGCGTTTTAATTTTTGGGTTTCCTAGTATTATCGGAAAGGGATTTATTTAATCAAATATTATTTTTACTTGCACTCGTTTTACTCCTACAACTGTTATCAAAGTATTTTTATGGCAAATTGCAAAGCGGTAGGAGAGAGATATTTTTAGACTTCTAGAATGGTATGAAGAAAACAAATATTATTGTGGATATCAATCTTCCACTGTACAAAACTTTCGCCCAGAGGAAACGTTAAATAATGCTTATTTTGAACATTTAAAGTATCCCTAATATGGATTAAGGAAAGAGGAAGTTGAGGTTATGTCCGCATAGATTACACTTCCTTTGAGCGATAAACCAGTAAATACGTGTGCAGAATAATGGATTTCACTTCAAAAGACCATTAACTGTATATTTTTATTTAATATTTAATCATAATTGCACGAACTTTCGCAATCGTACACGCTAAGGGTTTAACATCGTCTCGTCTTCGTATGTGGCGCCAATTTCTGTCCGTCTTGGACTGAGTCAAACAAAAAACTGTCGTCGAGGGCAACTTTCCTGACTTTACGCATTTCCACAATCCATTCCTTTGAAGACAGGGAAGAAGACAGCGGCTCTTGCTGAGTGTCGGCCAGCTATCCAGCAGCTTGAAAATGCGATGTGTGCGTAGAGCTTGCTTCTGTTGTAATCTCCGATGAATGAAATGTCTCTCTTCGATCTTCAAAACTCATATTGAATTGCCAAAGTATAACCAAGTACGACGCACATGTCCCACACATCTAAGGAAAGAATAAATTGGGTGGTTATTTAAGTCTGTTCTTTTATATCTGAGGTTTTACATGAAGTAAAATAGTGTAAAAATATTAAGATAAAAGAGAAATTTACACGATGATGGAATGTTTTTGTGGATAGGTTAATAAAACACCAACAAAGTTTGGTGTCAACTATAGAACATTAGAACGCGATAAACTGTTAGACGCTTTTCTTATTCAACAATATGACCAACTTGACAGCCTCCGAAGAGAAAGCGATGTGAAAGTACGTACGGATGCGAAGTGGTTCATGTTGACTGTGATGATCTGTTTGACGCAAATGGTCGGAGGGGACAGAGATATGATGCGCAGAAAAGTCTCCACCTGTGCAAGACAATAACGACATAAATATTTTGAGATCAATTTCACAACCTTTAAATGGAGAATATTATTGTGAGTTC